TCTTTTTAGATGATAAACAAAAAGGAATTAATGCTGACGAAAATTATTTCTTTCATTTTTTTTTTCTCAAAAATTCAAATTCATCTTAAATGAAGCAGAAGTGAGGTGTGTAATCGTTGTTACTGAAGCATTCACTATTTGATTGGGACTTGTTACCAGTTAGCTAAATCAGCTTCCGCGTGCTTTTGAGGTGCACTTCTGTCTCTCCTCCATTAGCTAAAAGAGGTGGGTGCAGGGAAGTCACGCAATTTGACTCAAATTTGAGGAAATAAAATCCAAGACTATAGCCATTCGAAAAGACACTGCACCTGAAATCTACACTCTTACTGTGCTCCAGCAAAAAGCGCTGGCTATACGCATCCTTTCAGATTCCGAGACCGGAGCTCTCGATATTGCCAATCTATTACCGACCCTGTTTCCTTGGTTAACTTACCAGCGGTTTTGACTCACTAGGTCTACTGAACTTTTTTCCTTGGGTAAAATTTACAGGTGATTTTGTCTCACTTGATCCATTGCACCTGTTTCCCTGGGTAATGTACGGGCAGTTTTGACTCAAGAAATCCATTGACCCTGTTTCCTCGGGTAATTTTTGGGTAGTTTTGACTTACTAGATCCATTGCATACCAGATCATTGGAGCTGCTGGTCCTATTGTCAGTTTAGATTGTACAGGATCGTTGTATATGTGCAAGAAGTCACCCCCCTCCCCCTCCCCCCTGAGTACCACTGCAAATACCATTCACTGATACGTGACATCAGCCAGTTACTTATGAATTAATCGGTAGTTCTTTCCGCTGCACACTACTTTCTTGCTTGGTCGCAAACGTAATCTTACAAATCGTTTATTTGATGGGGCTTTTTGCCTTTCGGTTATAGCGATATTAATGGTTTTATACATGAAAATATATTAAAGCATAATCAGAAAGTTTTGGTCCATTTAGTCGTATACATTCCTATCCAGCACTACAACTGGATCTTGACAATCCGTGATGGCCGTGGTGTTGGTACGTTTAAAATAAATGTGTCTAAATTAATTTCCTAAATCTATACCTTCAAAGTACCATACTTTTCGCGACTTAATTGTGCCAGTTCGTACTGATGCGTGTCGTACGTGAAAAAATAAACAATCACACAAGCCCCTTCGGTTGGCATGACGTGCATACATCGAACAGATGCCGAGTACTAACTGAAGGTACGCAGCCCAGGATCGAAGAATCTAATAAGATTGCATCCGATACCCCAGTTATACCACTGATACGGGATATCCCTACTTATAGTCCGGACAGTCTTGATATTCTTTGTATTGCAAGTTCGTCTAAAAGTTTCACTCAAGCGGAAAAAGTGTGGTGTATTCATCTCTTTTTTCTTGTCAGATTTGTGCTTTTCTGCCGCTCCGAAGCCAGTCCTGGTATTCCGTGGGAAAAATTTCTTCCTGAACTGACGTATCTGGAAATATTCTAACCTAGGGTTTCTTTTTATGCGTCTTGTGCTGTGTAACAACAGTACAAAACGCATATTGTCCATATTGTCACGGGGTTGTCTGTGTTTGTGTGTGTGTGTGTGTGTGTGTGTGTGTGTGTGTA